GGGGGAGGGAGGCTGGATTCATTCTTGTCTAGGTCCAAATCCCCACAGGCCAGGGGGGGGGAACCGCGGCACAGTGTAAGGCCGCGCCCTCAGGTAGAGGGGCGGGGTTGGGGGGGGGGGTTTCTCCAATATTCCCAGTGTGTGTGTGGGGGTTCTCTGTTGTTCCCTGTGGGCGCTGCCCAGAGCTGAGCCCCTCTATGGAATGGGCCCCATCCTGGAGCTGCCTGGCCGCAGGGAGCGGTTGTAGGAATCCAGATGTGGGGTGGGGGTGGGGGAGAAGTGAAACTCCCCAGGCCAGGGTGGGGGCCAGGCCGTGCCCCCCCTGCTCAGCACTTTCACTTCCCCACAGCAGCGAGGGGAGAGTTCAGTGCCTGGCTCTGGGCAGGAGACACCTCTGCCTGCAGCGGGCAGGGGTGGGGAGGGGGGCAGACAGCATCAGGCCTGAGGGGAATTGGGGGGGGGGTTTACGGGACAGCTGCCCCCCCCACCTCTAACCATCTTCCCTCTCCCTGCCAGGCCATGAAGGGCACCGGGCTGGTGGTGGGGCTGGCCCTCCTGCTGGCGGTGGGGCAGGGAGAGAAGACGCTGGAAGCAGGTAAGGGGAGGAGATGGGAGTGTCGGGGGGCAGGGGGTGGGGGTGGGGTGGCAGGAGACTTCTCTCTGGTTTGTCTGGGCCCTGCAGTGGGTGAGACACCCGTGGGTGCTGGGTCAGGGACTGGGGGTGTCACTTCATCCAGGGGCAGCGTGTGGGGGGCCCTGGCCTGTGTCCATTGTGGGGCCCCATCGATGAGGTCCGGGAGAAGCCTCTGGCTGAGTGGAACCCACCCGCTGCCCCCCTGGGGCACCACAGCAGGGCCTGCCCAGCCCCCCAATCCTTGCCCAGCCCTGTCCTGACCCCCAGCCCCGCCCTTTATCCCAGCCTGCCCCCGAGCCCAGCCGCCCAGCCCTGCCCTCCAAGCCTCCCCCCAGCTCTGCCATGCCCCCCAGCACACCCGCCCAGTCCTGCCCTCCAAGCATCCCACCAGCTCTGCCCCCCTCAGCCCTGCCCTGCTTCCCTCCCCTCCCCCCAAGCATGGCCCAGTCCAACCTGGCTTCACTCCTAGTCAAGGCTTTTGCCATGGCAGGGTTGGCTCCTGAGTGCCTGGCTGCGGGGCAATGCATGTCTGGGGAATGGGAGTGATGGGGGAGGCTGAGCGGTGGGGAGGGGGTCTGCACAGTGGGGGCGCTGCGGGCTGTGCTATACCTTGCGGTCGGGGTCACTCTGACGGTCTCCCCGGTTCCCTGAAGGCTCCTGCCGGCCCCGCGCCTCCTGTCACGACTGCATCCGCTCCCAGCCCAGCTGCGCCTGGTGCAAAGCGCTGGTAAGTGCCCGTGGGTGCTGGGGGGCGGGAACACAAGTGAGGGGATCCCCCCAGCTGAGAGCAGAGCCGGCTCACTGAGCAGCCCCATGGCCACCCCCGCCCCCGGGGAGTCCAGCTGGGGCCAGGGGCTGGGTCAGCGTAGGAGGGATCCCGCTGCCCTTGGGGGCCCTGGGATGTTCTGTGCAGGGGGTTGGGCTCTCCTCCCACAGCACCTCCTCTCTGGGGGGCTCCTCTCCCCATCTCTGCGCTCAGCCCTAAGGATCTCCCCTCCCACCTCCCAGCCAGCCCCATTCTGAGCCCCAGGCCCACTCCCCCTTGGCCCGAGGTCCACCCACACCAGAACAGGGACCCCAGGATGCTGCCAGCCCCACTCGTCTGCTCCAGCCGGATGCCACTACCCCCTGGGCCAGGGAACAGGCCCCAGCTCCACCAGAGCCCCTCAGCCCCGACCCCCAGCCAGGGCCGCCCAGAGGATGCAGGGGGCCTGGGGCAAAGGAATTTCGGGGACCCCTTCCATAAAAAAAAGTTGCAATACTATAGTAACACGTATTTGGAACTGTCAAAAATAAGCAGTGAAAGACATTCAACAATTAATTTTTAATCATTTGGAAATACATGAAATACATTATTTAAAAACATTAAAAGCTGTAATGTGTAATGTATAATGTAAAAATTGTATACATTTGCAATTACATAATGGGCTGTCGCTGGGTGACGGTGATGGTTGGTGCCAATGGGCTGTCGCTGCCTGGGGGTGGCGCTACTGTTGCCCAGGGCTGGGTGGGGAGCTGGGCTCTGGGTCGGGGGGTGCCCAGCTCAGAGAGGCTGGGCTCAGAGCTGGGGGTCAGGGCTGGGGGTGGGATGGGGTCGGGGGGTGTCCGGTTCAGAGGGGCTGGGCTCAGAGATGGGGGTCAGGGCTGTGGGGGAATGGGGTCAGGGGGTGCCCAGCTCAGAGGGCTGGGCTCGGAGCTAGGGGTCAGGGCTGTGGGGGAGTGGGGTCAGGGGGTGCCCAGCTCAGAGGGCTGGGCTCGGAGCTAGGGGTCAGGGCTGTGGGGGAGT